TTGTTTTTGAAGGAATTGAAATTATTTTCTTGGTAAATATTTACAGAAGAAAATGAGGATAATAATAAAAGGTTTAAGAAACATATACCTGGATTATTTAAGAAGAAACTATAAAACCAATACGTTTTAATAATGTCTCTTCAAATATTGTGTTAAGAATCATAAGCAGAGAAAATAGAATTAAGTAATCTAACTGCATATTCAAGTGAACTGCTCTATTTGTATGTATTCAAGATGTCTAAAAATTCCCCAGGCAAATCAAGTCAATTTGGTCATACTTAATATTCATCAATAATATGATTTATTTCTGGGATAGAAAAGAAAGAAATGTGTACCTGAAAGTTGAATATTACATTATTGAAAACAGGTAAAACCAGTAAAAGATAATAGTATAAAAAGAGAAGAGAAAACAGGTGCAAGACAAATTATTGGAGAATATCTTTTTGATTTGAGCTGTAGATAAAGTTAAGCAATGAAAGAAAATTAGAGGGAGGGACAAAGTGACAAGATGGTATGATTTTATTTGGCAGTACTGTGGAGAAATCATGAGAAGAGGACAAAGTTAGTAGCAATAGAAAGAGAAAGAACATCAAGAAACAAATTTAGACATTCAGGAAGGCAGATCTGAAGGAAAAATTGTTGGATTTAGTGACTAAGAGGTCTTTGCTAACAAACGATAGAGATGTTTCCATAGCAAAGTCAGAAAAAACTGCACAGAAGTTAATGTCAGAAGCTTTATGATGGAAGGAGGGGAGAGCTTTTCTGAGGTGTTCATATTTTGAGGTTAGTGTTCCTTGATGATGGAGCTTTGACCACATTCCACAAACTTCAAAGGGGTTGTTTATAAAATATACAAAACCAAAATAAATCTTGCCTGACTCTCTTCCCTCAACTAAATAGCCATGCAAGGTCCTCCAGACTCAATTGTGTATGCTACATTAGCAACACCAATGAGCAGAATTACCCAAGAGAAAAGACGTGCTGGATGCTTCATCAGCATTGTTACTGGCTTATGTCATCTGTACTTGTGCTAAAAAGTGAAGTAATCAGAAAGTTGCTTATACCCAGAGATTACCACTTCTGCTGTTTGACTTAATGTGTCTTGTGGAAGGACTTGCCTTTGCTGAGTTCCTCAAAGTTGGCTTTAAATATTTAACTAAAGTAGATCTCAGCGAGAGCATCTTCACCTACTTCTTTGCAATCAGGTCTCAAATCATAAATGCCATTCTGATACTAATCAGCCAAATCATTCAGGAGCATATGATAGTGGTTGACAGCATAATTGTGTGAGTCATGACCTTAGAGGTGAAACGTAAGGTTTTCTGCTCTTTCCTCTGTCCCAAGAGATGACTACAGATAGGATTCTGCTTTTGTCTTCTTTTGTTCTTGCAATTATTTTCAGCATTCATAGCACATTGCTTTGAATATTCTCAGTGGTTCTAAACCTTCCTCCTTAGGGGCTAATCTAGGTAAGGGAAATCGCTTTACATTTTGAAGGCATAATTGGAGAAAAAGGTAGAGATTAAGTAAGTTCATTTCTAATCAAATGAGGAGTAATTCCATAGTACCAACTAATTTTCTTGTGAAACATGTCATTTGGCTTCTTCTGTATCCATGTTCTACTGAGGGAAGTTAATTTTAGTATGCAAATAGGCTTGAATGTTTGGCATGAAGTGTTAGAAGCATAGCCCTAAGGTTTTCATCTCAGATGGTCATAGAAAACTGGATACAGTTTTCTTATCCCTTTTCAGGGCAGCACTATGTTTGTAAATCTCAAGGGTACAGTGACAGTGACTGGCCTAAGATTAAAAGAGGAAAATAATTAATGTTGACCAAATGGCTATAAAAGGATATTAAGAGAAAAATATCCAGATAATAGAGGATATAGTAAAAAAGACAGTTATATGTGCCATGAAGAGATAAAGAAAAAGGTGAGAGGGCTGAGGAAGACCAAAGATTGTCAAGAAAGAGGACTGGAGGAGTGGCTCAAGTGGTAGAGTGCCTGACAGATGAGCATGAGGCCCTGAGTTCAAACCCCAGTACCACCAAAAGAAAAAAATGGTTGTCAAGAAAGAAAGGCTATTGTTGGAAAATAATGTTTATAGGAGAATTAACTAGGTTCCTGGAAAAAAATGTCTTCTGAGTTAGATGAATTGAAATTTCTTATGAAGTTTTGTATAGCTTGTGTGTGTTTTTGGACTAAAAAGTCTGTGTTCTCCAATGGTGGCAATACCAAGAGGTCCCTTGACAACTCAGTCCATAGCCTAAAACAAATGGAAAATGAAAGCATGGCTCCTTATTAAGAGTGCCTGTTTCCAAACAATGGCAGCCTTTGTCAAGCATTCTGCAGATGCTGTAGCTCCTCTTTCTATCGCAGAAGCTCATTTACAATGAAAAAAGGTTTCATTAATAAATCATATTGCATGATATTCCTGTAAGTGTCTGGATGACATGCCAATCCTCAGCAGGAAATTAAATAAAATAGACCCAAAGAAAACTTGATAGCAATTCTCATTTTCCATACAGTGCTGCCCTGAAAAGGGATCAATTTAATATTAAAGATTTGACAAAAATCTTTAAAAATGTAGATTTAAGGTATATATGTCAGTATATGTGGCTTCATTCATAAAATAAGAAATCACTGCAGAATTTTCCTGCAAGAGTTTTAACAGTAAAAGTCTTTTTCATGTATTTGACAAATGGACACAGTCAGCAACTACACCAAAATATATTTTCAACTTTGTACCCAGAGGGGAACAACAAGTGTGGACATGAATAAAGGACTGTAATCTCATCTTGGCATTCTGTGAAATAAATGTAAGGAAATACACTTGGTTGCTATGAATGGATCGTTCTACCCTGCAGAAGACTGGTGATAAAGGAACAGAAGTTACATGATGTATCACGCAAATGTGACCAGGAAATCTTGTTAGAAAAACACAAGAAAGTTAGAAAGACAGAAGTAAATTGAATATCAGGGAATGTTTAAAGAAAATGGATACCTTTTATAAAGGCCACTCAAAGGAATGTTTGATACTACTTTTCTCTCAATTTATATTAAAAAGGAAATGATTACATATTATTTATTGTCTAGAATTGTTTATTAGAACCTGCATAAATTTTAGCAATGCCCTTATTCATGAAATAAACCTATTTTTTTCTGCAAACTTTTTGTGAAGGAAATAAAATGAAAAGGCATAGTATTGGTCTTATCCTTTAAAAGGGGTTAATTCACTTAAAAATGCCTCATATTGTGTGCTGGGTTGTTAGATGGTGTTACTGGAGAGTTGCTTTCCATTCTTTGGATTGAAAAAACCCTCAAGATTGGAAAATACCATACTATTTATCCATAAAATGCTATCTGATTAACCAGGACTAGTGTTCTTAAAACCATACAATGATTTTGGTTATTTTTTTTTTTTTTGCAGTCCTAGGTACTGGAGATTGAACTCAGGGCCTCACCCTCTCTAAGCAAGTGCTCCATGCCACCAGTCCTTTTTGCCTTTTCAGGTTTATTTTTCATGAGTGTCTAGAGCTTCTGGTCCAGGATGACCTTGGACTGGATTATTCTACCTTTGCCTCCAGAGTAGCTAGGATTACAGGCACACACCACCATAACTGGCTTGGTTTTCAGATAGTGTCTCACTAATTTTTTGCTTGGACTGGCCTCAAAATATTATACTATTATTTCTTCCTCCTGCATTGCTGGGATTACCAGTGTCTATCACCATGGCTATGCTCATGGTGATAGAGCACTGCAGATGATCATTCCTGGAAAGAGTAACTCTTCTCAGAGAGGGTTATAATCAAATTTAGGTTCAAAAGATCATTCAGATTATACTGTGAAGAAATGTAAGTTGAGGAGAGCTAACGGTTAAGTAGGTATTTCATTAGTTGATGTTAAATAAAGTGATATTATTCATTAGCTAGGAGTTTGGATTCTGAATCCAGACTGTCTAGTTTAAATGCAGTAAATATCGCTTATGAGCCATGTAACTTGAATAAGTCACTCACTTACTCTATATGTCAATTTTTCTATCAATAGTTTTAGTAGAATAATAGTTCCTATCTCAAGGATTAGGATGAGAAAGAAATGAATCAATATATCACAGAGTATGGCAGACAGATTATATGCATAGTGCACAATGTAAGTAGATTCAAACAGTGAACTAGGATGTTTGGAAAGGATAGATCAATAAAAGGGCCACATTTGAGTATATTCCTCTGAATATGTGACTTTGGAGAAAGGAGAAAGAGAGCTTAGTAGTGTTATATAATCCTGAAATAGAAATATTAGAGGGGGACAAGAGGTTATGGGAGGGATGGGGACTTTCAAAAACAGTATTAGCATTTTGTTCAAAATATTGGTCCTTTGTCAAAATAGTTTGGTGATATTCATTGTTTCGTAGGTAATGGAATGTATGAGGTAAGTTTAATCCACTTGATTGAGTGACACAGAGTGAGAAAGACCTCCTTCCAATGACATATCTCAGCAATTATGATACAAATCCTGCACCTACCTCCTCTTCAAGAAGTTTTGGTCAGCAATAAAACCTGTTGGAAGCACATTGGCCTTCTAATATAGAAGCATCATAAATATAATAAAGCCTTTAAAGAAATCAGATTCCATAGGGATTGAGGCATTATGAATGTGAATAAATCTTAGCCAACTACAGTTTGTTCTTGTAACTAATGACTTGTATATTTTTATGCATCTGTCCTGAAATATGCTTATTCTTTCATAGCTTGTTAAATAATAATGTATTTTCTTATAGCCAGAATTGATATTGTGTGCTTTATAATTCTATGAATTCCTCAAATAGAATGCTAAGAAAACAAGTGCTCAAGAAATATGATGATGGATCACTAATATGAGTGCTACATTTCTTTCAATCTATTAATTTGTATTTTATATCAAAGGCAATTAAATTGCAAACAAACCCATGCAATTGTATACTAATTACAATGATTTATCCTTTCTATCTTCCTTATTCTTCTAGTCTGCTCCCAGTTTTCAAGAGGAGTCTATGCGATTTTTGGATTTTATGACAAGAAGTCTGTAAACACTATCACATCCTTTTGTGGGACGCTCCATGTCTCCTTCATCACACCCAGCTTTCCAACAGATGGCACGCATCCATTTGTCATTCAGATGCGACCTGACCTCAAAGGAGCACTCCTTAGCTTGATTGAATACTATCAATGGGACAAGTTTGCATACCTCTATGACAGTGACAGGGGTAAGTGACAGTATCCATCTTTTTGTAAGGAGTAAAATTCAGTAGTTGCATTTCATAAGTGTATGTGATATTATAGAACCATAAAAACATATTAAGATGCAAGGATCACTTGGCTTCATTTTGCTGCATAAATGAAAAATGAAATTTGAAAACTGGGAAACATGCTAAGAGTAAAATAAGAACAGGAACAGTGTTAAAGTGTTTTGTTGACAAGGATAGACAGTATCAACCTAACGCCCAAAGATTCTGTTGTAAGGTGAAAAGCAACTTCTGGGATCAGCAATGAAGATTCCAGGATGACTATATTACTAATGAGAGGAGAATCAAGAGGGTTAAGTGAAATTTACATAAATATTATAAAAATATCTTTTGTAGTAATTTACAGCAATATTGGTACATGTAAAAGGTTTGCCAGGTAGGAAAAGTTATTATTTCCCTTGGTTTAAAACAAGATCCCTGAATCTTAGAGCAGTCATAAGAACTTTCTGATGCCTCACCTGTGCGTGGTGCAACTTGAGCACAAGTTTCTGATGCCAGGCTTGGCATCCACGTGATGTCTGTGTCAAGGGATTCTTGATTCATTGCACTGAAGTTTCTGAGGGCAAGTTCTTCCTTTTTGCTTCCATAGTTCCTCTTCTGAAGTTATTACTTGTAGACTTGCTTGACTTAGATTTCATGGAAGCCCAGACGTTCTTAACCATTACTGGACCCATGACTGCAGGTCAGTGGGTCTGCATGCCCTTGCACAGTATGAAACATTTTATGGGGATGTTCGTATGTGTCTTTCTGGAGACAATTCATAAGCACAGACAAGAGGGTTGTGAACCACTCTTGTTAGAGTTCCTAAGTACCACACTTCAGCAGCTCACTTTCTGGAACACCAGAAACATTTCTGGTTTTCATATATGAAAACCAGAAGTTTGTTTCAGCCAAGATAGGGTACCTTGTTACCTGTAACAGCAGACGAAAAGGAAGCAGCGTCAGTCAGTTCTCCATTGATCCCTTGGCAGTCGCTGGCTGCAGCTATCCTGAGTCAGGAGTGCTCAAGCTGGGTGTCTGATCTCTGTCTGTCCTCCTGGTCCTGGGATGGGAGCACTTTGGGGAAAAGCCAGGTAGCATTCTATGAAAGAAAAAAAACAAAAAAAACCCAAAAAAACTACCAGGCCAACACCTTTTCCCCAGCTCTGAGAGAAAGCAATTTGCTATCTTCACAGGGGGTGAAAAATGAAAACAGAACAATTTAGAGGAAATGGGTAGTTCAATGTGCTGGCTAATTCTGAGGCATACTTTTTATTTATGTGGTAAAAGAACATATTTAATTATTTTTAGTCTTTTCTCTTGCTTTTTGGTAATTGCTTTAGCACTTTGTTTTTTTTTTAAATTAGTCTGAGATTTGGTCATATGTTTAATGGCTTTCACATCCTGTTGACATGATTTCTGCCACCTGTTACCATCTCGTCTCTAGCTACTTCTTTTTCACCACTCTCCCTACCAGGCCACTCCACCAACATGTGTTCAGTTTCTCATCTCTTCTGTTCCCCACTTGTCTCTATTTGATCCATTTCCCACAAAGTAGCTAGAATTGTTTTTAAATATCTTTTTTAAAACTTTTTTTTTTACCACATCACTCCCTTTCTTAAAATGCTTCATATATAAAATACTTTGTATATACATAAGAATAAAATCAAAATTCTTAGCATGGCTTGAAGGTTTGATAATACCTCATTCCTGTCCAATGGGGATTGTATTTTGCTGCCTCGCTCACTCACTAAAGATAAATCTGTTTCACTTTCTTAGATAGGCCAAATTGTTTCACTTCAAATATCTGCACAAATCTCAAATTGTTCCTGCTCCAAGACGTCTAGGTCTATATATCATATCCTCAGAGATGATTTTTCATGCTGGAATTCTATCTCAAAGTAGTGCCTTACTTTTCTTCCTAGGCCATATCACAATTCATAATTAATAGTGGTGTTGGTTCTGTCACTCAAGAGCTGCTTAGTGAGCACTTGTGATGTTCAGAGACTGACAAGCTACCCAGACTAAGCACTGGTTGCAAGTTAAGGAAGGCGATCCCACTGCTCAGTCACTGATGTACAGTGCATGGCTAGGCATCCCATGCTTCAGGCAATGCCAGAAACAGAGCTGATGGTCAATGAGCTGTGCTAAAAAAATGAATGATCTAAACATCTGTGCATTTTAAGCTTGACATCATATTGGAAGCTGAATCTTGTTTGCCAAATTGGAGGATCAGATAACGAACACCTTTTACTATTTGACAAGGTTGAAAATGATGTTTTTAGTTTAGAAACATACCTGCACTCACCCTTTTAATCCTCTAGTTAAAACTGAACTTTGAAAGTATTCAAGTAGACAAGAGATGACATTGGCTGTTGACAAAGAGAAATATTTGAAAAGAGATACTAGGAGAGACAGGCACTGGAGAATTGACATGTGAAGATGAATGAACTTATGTACTTGCAAAGAGAATCTGGGACATTTTTAAATGATTTTATTAATACTCTAGAAATATTAAATGAAATCGGAGTGATGAGATAATCCCCAATTGTTAAATTATACAAATTGATTTGAGTCAAGTGCATTTGTTGGGTGAAGAACATTAGAGTGATAATATTAAGTAATTATGTATTAAAGCCAAAATGACCTTATGGACACATTTTCAAGGTGTCATCGAGTAGCTACTGATGTTTTTAATGAGAAGAGCATTATGCTGGCCATAAAACTATTTTCAGAGATAAATGTGACTCTCAAAACCCTGGCAACAGCTTTGACCAATGTGTGATGTTTCACTCCACCCAGGGAAATGGGATTTTTGCACACTGATTGTTTTATTAATTTTTGTGGTTTTTACATCATATTACATTTAAAAAATTATTCACAGATTCATTTTGAATGCACAATTTCCATGCTTTCAGGTGTCCCCTTCTTACTTTAGTATTGTGAGACTTTGATATGTTCCTATGAACCCTTTATCCATATTAACCATGCTTTTGAAAAGAGATTCCATGCTTTCATGTTTCAACTCACATTTCAATTTGTCTCAATTTCAACCTGTTCTTGATATGGTGTACTCTCTACCTCCTTGGTTAGATGGTTTTGTTTAGGGTTATAATAATCTTTACTTTTCTGAGGGCCTAGGTCAGCTCACCATACTGTTAACATTATAATATCTAATAAATTAATGATCTTTTGAACACCAAGCAAAAGAATAGCCCCTCAGTATTCTGCAAAGATTGTAAATTATATGAAAAAGATTTAACACTGTTCTACTCTCTGTTGTCATGGTACTCTAAGATTTCAGTTAAATCATTCTTGACCCCCCCCACCCCGCAGCGCGCGCGCGCACACACACACACACACACACACACACACACTGTCCATTCAAATGTTGAATGACTTGTCCTGATCATATCCCAGTTCCAAAGGAGGGAAGACACAAATGCATCCTCATCTTTGACAAATCTCAGTTTCTTATGACAGAGCTCTGAGGCTGTTCATCTGGTGCCAGGTGACCTTTCTGGATTGCTGGTTTCTTCTCTTTACCCAGGCAATGCAGCACAGCCTGGAACCCCTTAAGAACTTAGTGTCCTTCCTAAAAACCCCGTGTTATTATTCTATAGGGAGAGCTAGATAGAGCTTCCATGCATTTTAACTAGAAAGTAATGGTTTTTCTCTGCCAATGCAGTTTCAGTCTTTGGATATGTATGAATATTTGAATAAGAACTAAATCAAAATGTAGTTTTTATTTATTCTTTCAATGCCAAGGTAAGGTAATAGATTTTTATACACAATAGGTAAAAACAGAGCTAAGCCTTTATAACTAACTTTATTTCTTAGTTTTAATTTTGAGAAAATATTGTGTGGTCCTGAAGGGAAGGCACTTTAACTTCAATTCCAAGAAAACATCAAGCATAGAATGAAAATGCTCCCCAAATATGAATTTCTTTTCTGGTGTTCTGGAGAAATCTGTGTTAATCTAATCTGGTTTAGGCATGCTGCCATGATGTACTGATCATAAATATTAATCTTATGCCTAAAAGAATGAATAAGGGCAATGAATATTAAATGGAACAAAAACAGTATTTTTCAGAACAAGACATGGTCTGAATGAAATACACTTTTTGGCAGTAATCAGCTTAAATATCACTCTTTAATGTGCAAACAAAGACATGGAGATTCCACCTGCTTTTAGGCTAAAGGCTTTTCTATAACTTCCTTATAGTGTTATTAACATTAGGTCTAGATGAAATTATTACCTACTGCTTGCAATACTTTGAATTTTATGGAGATTGTCAACTTACAATTAGGTTATATAACTAGAGCACCTTGCTAACAATAGGCACATGAAGAATTAAGGCAATTTAATAATATTTTAGACTACCCATTCTTTGCCATAGCCAAACATCTGAGAATTCAGTAGCATTGACAACTTAATTGTACTTTTGCAACATTCTTGAAAATTTTTAGAGCATACTCTATTTTGGATACACTTATTTAGATGAGTAGTTAATTTTACAAATTTGTTTCTATTTTTAGGTGAACAACAGTGCATTCCAACAGTTTTCTTTGTCCCAAATCATTCAGAAATAAGAAATCAGAAATTTGAATATCCTGATACAGTAATATGAACATTAGAGTTTAACGATTGTTACTACTAATAGCTTTAAATAAACCAATGTTTATGTGTAACATCCATTGTCTATACAATGAATTTAAAGAATAAATGTATTTATAAAAATATTTCTGTCCTAGTTTGTATGGAAGCAAAGGAGGCATATCTTAAGTGACACTTTTTCTTCTAAATAGAATATGGGAATGTGAAACAAGAGGATGAATTTACTGGGGTATAGCTCAGTGGTAGAGTGCTTGCCTAGCGTGAACACAGCCCTGGGTTTGATCCCTGGCAGTGGAAAAAAGAAAAAGAAAACACACAGCATGAACTTGTGTTATGTTTGAAGAGTTTGTTTTCTTCTTCATAGTTATACATTTTTGATGATATTTACATTTCAAAACTATTAACCATAAATAAATCAAACTTACTACAAAACCTTCAGTTGTGAGAAAGATGGAGATGAAATAGAGAAAATTTGAGAGGATCTGTTACTATTACTGAAAAGAAACTAAGAAAATGGATTACTAAGGAAAGGACAAATTGTGTGTCACATCATTCTCTGTTTTGTGAATGACATCTGGCTGTCCTTAGAAGGTGATTTGATATTATTCATTGCCTTCTAAGTAAAGCAAATTAATCAAATCTGATATAGCATTACTTGATCAGTTCAACTTCTTCATAAATACATGTAATTTTTGTTGGGTTTCACAGGTTGCAAAATATTAATCCTAAGAGTTTTAATAATGGAGAATCTATACTGACTGTAAGTTACCTGTGACACATAGAATGATTGAGTTTGAAAGATAGACGTTTAAAAAAATCCATTCTGCTTTATTTTATATATCATCTCCATATTCTGTGTCAGGGAGAACTGCCAATAAATTTTAGGTTTAAATTTATCACTTCATGAAATCCACTTATAAATTTATAAGCAAATTTATATATAAAATTTCTTATAATGGCTGTCAAAAGATGAAACAGTATATCAAGTGCATCACTGCTAGCTATTTGTTTGTAATTAAATTGAAACACAATGAAATAACTTATTGCACAGAGCAAAAGAACTTCATGGAGTTGCTAGATGATAAAATGTAGAGCACATTTTGTATCATTAATAGGTATGATGTTTTTAAGAAGGTAACTGGGGAAGTCACAAAATAATTGGAATACGGAAAAGCGAGATGTAGGAAACAGAGGAGGTGGAGAAACTTAGATTTTTTTTTCTCTTATTTGGAAAGAACATTGGATAAATGTAATAGCTCTTTTAAGCACACTGGTGGCTGCTGAATTGATATGATGACCAACTGTGTGTATTCTCTTTACTGATGATGAAAAACAGGAAATGGGCTTGAATTGTATTTGGAAGGATTTAATTTACCTAAAGTGAACAGAAATCATAGGCTTTCTGTGATGTGTTCTGAAGTTTTATCATTGAAAGTTTTTCTTTTTCTTTTTTTTTTTTTTTTTGAATGTGTGATACTGAGGTTTGAACTCAGGCCTCACACTTGCTAGGTAGGTGCTCTACCACTTGAGTCACTTCCCCACCCCTTTATCATTGTAAGTTTTTAAGTGACATGTGACCTACTTAAGTTATCCCTTAAGCAATTCACATTTATGTATATCTTTTGTTAGAATATGAAAGGAGTTGGTCTTGTTTTTTTACCACCTTCAAACTCATTATAAGCTCAATGTATGGCAATTGTCCATTTTGAAGAAAAAGTAAATTATTTTTAATATTTATTATGAGATGTTAAATTATGAACTGAAATAAAAGAAAGACCACCCAACTTTATTAAAGACTGGTTTATAGACAATTTCGTTTTATCTAGTATATCCCTTTCTGCAATTATCTAGAAACAAGTTTATTGCCCTTCAGTTGTATCCCAAAGAAGGCAGCTGAGAGGGTTGAAAGAAAGGGATCTTGTTTTCTCCTCATTTTGATCAGAAAAATAGTCGTGAGATTTTGATGGGACGTGGACAAAAGTAGAGACTGGTAAAGGTCATAGCCATGACTTTTTGTGAGAAGTTGACATCCCCTTGGTTGCACAAATGTATCAAGTTTAACAGCACGTTCACTGACAATTTCAAAGTCCAGTATTTTTCTCAGTCATACCTGACCTTTGTCTTCCTAGGCTTATCAACCCTGCAAGCTGTGCTAGATTCTGCTGCTGAAAAGAAATGGCAGGTGACTGCTATCAATGTGGGGAACATTAACAATGACAAGAAAGATGAGACCTATCGATCACTCTTCCAAGATCTAGAGTTAAAAAAAGAACGGCGTGTAATCCTTGACTGTGAACGGGATAAAGTGAACGACATTGTAGACCAGGTTTGCTCCTCTCTGTTTTCTAATGGCACCAAATATAGAATACACAAGCCATGTCAGCATTTGCTAGGAGCATTTGTTCAAGCTGCTTGTACAGCAGTTTTCATATTATGGTTTATGTAGGGTGTAGCAAAGATCATCAATTAAATTATATCTGGCTTCAGTTAGCAATAGCAGATGGCTGTCAATATTGCTGACAGATAGAACAAATCACTCAATATGTAATTCCAGACTTAACATTTTACATGATAAGCGATGCCCTAAACCTTGATATTTTGAATTGGAAAGTTTTAATTTAATTCTATTGAAATTTCTAGAGATAAATAAATAGATAGGTAGTAAGTCAAAATAAGCCTGAGTTCTAAGGGAAAAGTAATGATTTTTTTGGAAATAGGTTATTTCAAATATTAGAGTATAGTATAATGTACTCTAGTATCCTAAACCTATATTATTATCTAACTAAGTCTACATCTCTAGAAAGCATATGCATTTTTATAGAAAATAATTCTTGTATGTTAGAGAATTTTTGTTGTTATAAAACTGTAATCTATAAACTTAAAAATATTAAGGAAATACATTCAGACTGTGTTCACAATTTGAGAAATAAATCACAAGTCTTTGAAAGAATAACACAATTAACAGAGATAGGAGATTTTTATCAGTTCTTAGCACTCTAGCTGTTTTTAGTTTATTGGGAAACGGTAGCCATAAAGTGGTATTGTAATGATAAAAAGATAAAAATCCACCAAGTTTTAAAGCTAGGGTAAGTGACCGGGATGCATCATAATTTACTAAGATCTCTTTCAATGATATCTGCATCTTTTGTTAGCTAATAAATGTATGTGTGTGTTTATGTATGTATATAATTTTGGCTTCTACTTTCTTAGAAGTACATACAATTGGAAAGAAAATAAACAGTTCAGTATGCATTTCTGCCCCTTCTGGGCTTTGAGGGGAAAACTTAAATTCATTAATTTGCACAACATGAAATATTCTGTAGACATAGTGTTGATAAAGTCCTAATTAATATATAATACAGACATAAAAATTGAATGTCTCATGAATAACTGAATAAAACTAACTTGCTATGAGAAAGAACTAATGATGGATAGTTTGAGTAGAAAAATCTTGATACCAGTCTTGGGAGATTAAGTTAGGATTGTTTTTAACCTGAAGGTCTCTTGTTCAGGTGTGAACCTCAAAATCTCATTTGAATTTCACAGGAGGTTCTCATTAAAGCTGAATTTTAATATTCATTAAGTCTGGTTTAAAATGTTTTAAGTATTCCTGATTCATAATAAGAAATATTGGTGAAAGTTTCTATAAAAATAACTCTTTTTAAATCTAGAAGAGAGAAATTGCAAAAGAAACAGGGAGCATATGGAAAGCAATGTTTTGAAGCAAATCAATGATCAATGTCCCTATGGGCAGACAGTCAAGATGCAGAGTGTGTTGCATATGTATCATAAAGCACCCCTTAATGTACAAAGTGAGTACATATGATTGATGGTATATCATTCAACAAACATTTATTGTGAACATACTCTGTATAGAGTGAGGGATGCAAAGGAAGACAAGGAAGAGTGGTGTCTCCACCCTATGAACTCATGGTATAGAGGGGAAGAAAAAAAAGTCCATGTAAAACGCCGTATTATAAGTTAAAACGCAATGTAGTGGTACCGGTCAGCTTTCCATTGCTGTAGCAAATACCTGAGGTAAATCAACTCATAGAAAGGAAAGGTTTATTTTGGCTAAAATTTTGTAGGTTTCTATCCATAGTTAGTTGATCTGTTGCTTTGGAGCCAGTTGAGAGGCAATGCATCATGGTGGGAGTATATGGTAGAGGAAGTTGGTCACCTCATGGTGGTGTGGAAGTACAAAGAGAGATGAGGGCCCCAAAATCCTGTCTGAGTGCCTCCCTTCAATGATCTAAAGACTTTCTATTAGGCCCCACCTTTTAAAGGTTCTACCACCCTTCAATTGTACCATGCTGAGGACCAAGCCTTTAACACATGGGACTTCAGTAGAGATTTAAGATTCAAACTATAGCAGTGGTCTAGTGAGCATGGAGGAGGAAGTACCTGTCTTTGCAGGGTAAGGATAGTCTGGGAAGGGTTCATATAGAAGGCGGCATTTGACTGGCTTGGACTCATTCGTTTGTCAAACAAATATTCCCTGAGTGTCTACTGTTTACCAGACAAGCTCTGCAGTGCAGTGTGTCCAAAAAAGAAATGTAAACCATGTAGGCTAGGCCCCATCAAGGTGTGTTAAAGCTTTTTTTACAGAAAATGATAAACCATTATAACAACAGGATAAACCATGAATGAAAACAACAGAATATTCTGAGATAGGATTACTCAGAGAAAGAATTTAGAAATTATGTTTTTCACCAGGCAAAAAGTGAGGATAAGGTATATTCTAAGAAAAGGAAACTATTTATTCTTTCAGTTAGCAGTATCTACAAGAGAACAGAGTGGAGACAAAATTCTTTATCTTGAAATTGGAAGTAGAATCAAACTGTATTAGATTATAGGTAATTCATTTTCCTTTGATAAAACCATCAAGGCACTTATTTCTAGATGTGATTAGGCATGAAAAGTATTCATCCATCAAAATTAATAAATTAACATAGATTTTAGTAGTGCCATATCAGTTGTTCCTATAAAGCAAAATTTGGTGGTTAGTGCAGCCAACACTACTCTTTATATGGTCAGAGGGCTGGTAAGTTTTCATATCCTTCTTTCTCTTAGTGTACTCTAAGTTCAAGAAAGAACTATTGATATTATCATTTTACTGTGTTTATTTTAATTCTCAGAAGGAAATCACAGATGCTTCAGAAAGTAGCTTGTACAGAAAGCAGAGCCAACAGATGTCCTTAGGCTATGCGATGGACACAATCGTCTTGATTAATCTGAAGTTAATTCATGTATTTTTCATTCAGAAGGACATTTCTTTATTTTTTTTTTCCAAAATTTTCCCTTCAACATGGAGGGTTTCATTTCTTGGAAAAGGCAATTTAGTTGTGTTAGAAAAGGCAATTTAGTCATGTCAAAAATAGTTTAGAAAACAACATAAGCTTTAACTTCCTTTCAAATGCTATCACTTAATATTAAAGTCGCATATGGTGAAATCTTTCCCATGACTTTTGTCCTTGATCTTAAACTAAATGTGTTGCTTTGAAGCACCTGACTTTGTCTGGGATTATGGAAGGTCAGAGAAGTCTTACCCAGGAGATAGAAATTGGGCTGAGATTCATTGTGCCTTAAAAATTAGTAAGACAAAAGATATGTTGGTGGAGAGAGCTTTCCAAGCATAAAAGACAGAAGATGTAAAACTCTGAGGTTATGGGAAGTGTTTTAGTGTACAGAAGTTTAAAAGAGGCCCATGTGAATTGAATGTGGTGAATGGAGAAGGTGGACCTGGAAAAGCATGCAAAATGGATGAAATATGCACCATATTAAGAAATTTGCTTATTTTGGAGCCTCACCAAATCAGTTTAACCAGCAAAGCTATTAGTTGTCTATATAGCCTTGTCATTTTATGCTTTCCATTGGTGTGATTATTTTTCTTAAAAATGGAAATTATATTTGCATTCAGATGATCCTAGACTGACAAGGATGCAGTTTATGATATTGCAATTTTAGAATGGTGTGAAAAGCATATGCATTTAGTAGAGACTGTACTTTTTGAATTTTGATCTTCTGTGTTAGCAATATGCAGTGTGAAACTCTTTTGTACTGTTAGGCAGTGGCAGTGAGCCCAGCTCCCAGCCAGACATACGAGCACAAGATAAAACAACCCAGGCTCTTCAGTGCTCTGTTTTGCCAAGCTCCCATGTTTGGCAGGTTAGGTGTTTTAAATGCATTTTTGACAGTGGGTTTATCAGGACTTAATCCCGTGGAAGGTTGGAAACCATCTGTATCTATGCACCAGGACTGTAGCATTGACATCTCACCCTTATATACTCTGTATGTTTGATGTAGGTCACTGAGGCAAATTGATTCAACAATGTCCAGAACTATTGTGAGCGTTGCTAGGATGAGCACTTGTTCTGGAATGTGCTTATCTTTCCATTGATTTTTGACTCAGATTTGTGGGAAAAAATTAGCTTTTATGATATTTTGCTGTCTAAAGCTAAAAGTAATGTCCATTATTAGTAAATGTCTTACTAAGGTTTAAGCATTTCAAGATTTTTAAGATAGAAAGGAAATATTATATATCCATGTAAATTTATTTATTTTCCTCATTAAATATTCTTTTAAAGTTTATATAGGCCTATAAAATATATGTTTTTCTCTTTGAATATATCTGTGTAAATATAACATCTCAGGTGTTGATTTCAGCTATTTGATGTTTTACTAAAAAATCAAAGAGAATTTTAGGAATAAAAATATGACTTGTGGATTAAGCATATTTTGATTTTATGTTTGTCAAAACTTCGTGGCCTCATTTTTACTAATGTAAAAAATCAGGTAATTGTTTTGGTTTAGTGATTGACTTTTTCAAACATAAGTTGTTAAACACTAAACTGTGTTATTACTTGTTCACGAGAGAAATATTTTCTGGGATTCACAATTAGGTTTTATCAAAAATGAGTAATTACGGAGTATCAAAAAACATAGTTGGTAAAATTTCATTTTTCCATGACTCAGATCAGAATTTTACATCGATGTTATTTTCATTTGTTAAATAATTATTTCTTTATTTTTGTTAGGTTATCACCATTGGAAAACATGTTAAAGGGTATCACTACATCATTGCAAATCTGGTAGGTGAATTAATTGCCATTATTTTACTAAATACTCTTATTAATTAAAAATCTTAACTTTGAGCAGTGATGTTTTGAAAATATAATTTAACTTTATTTCATAGATTGGAAATGACAACTTTTTTCAATTTATTGTGTTTTAGATTACTTCCCACTTTACATTTTCCAATCACCGGTTATGTGAACATTTGTAGAATAATATTTGACTTAATAAATTATCTCGGAAGGCATATTTTAAAAATATGAAGTTTAATTGTCCGAACATCCCCTTGTCTCTCACTATCACTGTGTTTTATAAACATTACCTCCTTCACATTTAAAGTTTTAGTATATGTGATATCTGAAATAAATGCACACTTGTGAGACTACATCTCAATGCACAATTAAACCTGGAAATGTGATAACAATATTATCAATTGTACAATATGTCATATTGATACGCTACTCTTTCTGATTTTCTATTTACTATGTAGATAGCACAATGAAAAGTGAATTTATAGCCAATGACTTTCTCATCAGGATTCTCGTCAAACACAATCATGTTAAAACAACAGAATGGCTAATTACATTTCCCTTAAGTATAATCAATCAGCTTAGAATCATCATCAGACATTTCTTTTTTTCAGAATAGGTTTTAGATCCGCAATATTAGGACTTTATGAATACAGAGTTTTTTGCTTTTAAGTAAATGTGATTCCGTGTGTTGAAGAATCTCTGCCCTATCCTTTATGTAAAACGTAATGATAAAAAGGTGAGAAAAAGAGGAAAAGAAGCAGAGAATATAAATTTACTATAAATAGCATAATAAGATTCTGAAAAAGTTTTGTATATATACAAATACAGATTCATTTTATGATTTCTAGAGTACCAGCTTGTACATCATAAAGCATTATTCCTAGTAGTAAAAGAGGTTAAAAACAAAAGTAAGCAAAACTTATGACTCTATAATAAATACTGTTGTCATGGAAGTTAGTATCAATGACACAAAACATTGAATTTCAGACCAACATGCTGTGGTCCTTCATAAGGAAATTTCTGTTTGGCAATGAGTGTCTGATGACTCTCAAAATTCTGTAGGATTTTCCCTTAGGAGAGAAGGAGATGCTAAAGGGCTGTTGTAGGGAAGGAAGAGTTAAAATAAATGAAATTCTTTGCTGAGTCTCTGCAGAACCACATTAGTGCTGGGAACAGCCTGGACAGTCAGTCTCCTGTGTGAATTGTGTCATTTGATGAACAACACTGAGCCACACTGAAAGCTGTGACTTTTAAAAATGTCCAGATGGAGAAGATTATATTGGAACATTGAGAAATAATGACAGAAGGCAGCTCATCAATTTGAGAGTTGATAATCTGATGGCATGAAAAAGGGAAGAAGTGTTTGAATGGCCAAAATTTTTTAAAAAAATTTCATGCTGCCATCATGCTTCTGGAGAGAAATGTAACTCATTTAATCCAAATTCAGGTTCTAATTTTCCTTTTCTGAATATGCCTTCCTTGCTATATGAACTTCTGGTGAATTAGATTGTTACAGAAGTCTGCACTCTGCTGTAATTTCTGAATATTTAGAGGACACATGGACATTTCTCTGACATTTAGAATTGAGAAGTGCCATCCAAAGTTGAAGGGCTTTCCTCTTCCGTACTCTAGATTCAGCCAGGGTTTAATGAGTATTAGAAAAGTTGGTTCTAAAAGATTTAAAATGTCTTTAGATACTGATATTGATTCATTTCTTCAGGAATGGCTGAATGCTTGATTATGTTCCTAAACCCAGGCTGTGGTTAAATTCTTGATACAGCATGTAAAATCATAAATAAGCCATACAATGACAAGGAAGTGGTCAAAGGGTATGAAGTATTCATTTCTTCAGCCTTGCTCTTATGGTTTAACTTAATTCTTTAAAATGTGCTATTTCTACAATGCTAGTGATTTTACCTGAAAATCTGAGATTTTTATGGACATGAGTGGAGAGTTACTTTCTGCTTTAAATCCCTGTAAATGTATCTCCAGTAGCAGCAGTGTTAGTGGGTTTTAATTTGATGAGCTTGTTACCATGTGTATTGCTAATCCTTGGCTCTGTCCTGTAACTTGCTTTCAGTTTTTCTCCTTCCCTTTTCTCTCTTTTTTTAAATAAAAAAGAAGAAAACTTAGGGAAATGCAGATCCTCACTCAGACTAGTTTAAGTCTTATCTAAGGTTTCAGTTGAAAGTGTCATTTGTAGTAAAAACTACAGTGAAAGGACAAAATTATATAAAACCCTAAGAAAAAAGAAAATGAGAAAGGAAGTAACAACAGTACAAGAAGTCAACAAACTTTTTAAAGGCACAGATTAGATGAAGGATGAACATATGGCATAGGATGCAGAAGGAAAGCAAAACTGCAAGTGGCTACAGACAAGGAACAAGCCTGCTCAGGACACTGAGTGTCAGTCCTGGAAGAATTAGGACCCAGAGTCAGCAAGGTGAATGTGGAGACTGGGAGGGGCCTTACTGCCTTCTCTAGAAGCTGAGTGTGGCCTGGGTATTCATGTGCACATCACTTTCAGGAGCAGCCTGTAAGGGAATGAGGGCTGTGAGAGAGGGAAAGAAGAAGCTGACTAAGCATATGATTAAGGAGGAATTTGGGTCCAGTCTGACCTCCCGGAGCTCTGCCTTATATAAATCGCATCAATCTCTTAGAACCTGAGGGAGGGAAGAGGGGCCTTTGAAACTTCTAAGAGCATGAATGGGGCTCATTAGCAAGATAAAGCCATTAGCTTTTGCCATTGACTAAGGGCTGTGAGGGAGTGGCTTTCATTGTCCCATGGAAATTCTCTGGGAAAGGGATAAGAGCCATTGGCCAAAGCAGAGAAAGCCCCAAGAGGAAGGAGAAGCTCTTGTCAGTTACACTACTAAAATGAATCCTTGGAAACCTGAATGGGTCACTGAAATCACTGAGTACAAGGACCTGATTCAAAGTTCCTTGTGGGGAAACACAGGATGCCCCTAGTACTTTGCGCACCACCCAAACACCAGGTAACTATTGGTGCTGGACCTACTTCCTCTCTCAGTGATACTGCTTTCTAGAAAATATTAATTGGAAAAGTGCTGGAAATTCAGAGACATTTTGAAAAAACAAAACCCAAACAAGGACAACAAAATGAAAGTGAAAGTCTCTATATGGAATTCTGAACCTCCCATCCTATCAGCCATCCGTCCCTAAAATCTGGCCAGGCATGTAGCAGATCAGAGGATTCTGAATGGCCCAGAGGAAAAGAATCCCAGTACTGGCAAAAAGGACTTCCATGCAGCCCACCTAACCATCTAACTGACATCTGCCTTACCTTGCTAATGAGCCTCATTTATGTACACAGAAAATCCAAGACACGTTTTAGGGTCTTACCATGATATATTAAACCATAATTAGGCATTCGCGAAGTCTTTGCCATGAAGGATGCGATACAAAAAATGATGAGTAACAAAGCAAGAAACGTAAGAAAAAATGTTTAAAATTGTAATTGTTGGTAATAATGGCGCAGATAGGTTTCAGTTCTTACTGCACCCTTAAGCTTCTGTTTTCCAGGGTCACAGTCCTGCCTCAAGTCTAGCTTGAATCCTCCTTCTGCCCCAACCTCCAATCAGCATGAACCATAAGATCCTAACCAATCAGATCATGCTGAGTCTCACTGAGGTGTATTTAAGCCCCTGCCCTTCCTGCTTCTCTCTCTCTTGGCTCTCTCTCTCCCCCACCTGGCAATAAAGAATCTCTTGGCCAGATCACTCCTCTCCACGTGGTCACTTTGGGGCCTACATTTTCCAGCAGTAATTAATATCAAAAGGAAGGGAAATATTTAAGCCATTAAAAAAAAAAGATTTTATAAAAAAGGGAGGAAAAAAAGGGAGAATAAGGAAGATCTCTGGAAAATTAATTTGTTTTTCTAAAATAGTTATATTACTTGAGTTTGAATATAAAGAGAAAATCTTCCAGATTACATAACATAATGTCAACATTATATAAACTCAGCAACAGATTTAGACATTTAAGTTAAGGATTGCAACATCTTGATAATAGACATTCTAGAATGAGCAAAAAGTAGAAGTAGGAGAAAGAAACATTTCAAAAAATGTCCAGTACTGACTGATTCAAGTCTCCCTATTGAATATATAGGATAATGAAAGAAAAAAGAGTTGCAGGAAAATTTCAGAGAGTGAGAAGATATTAAAAGTTTCTGGCAGGTAGTGCCTAGGAGCAGGAAGCAATTCAGACCCAAAATGAATTAGATATGATATGTTTTTCAGTAGTGACAGTAGAAAATAAAAGCCAATGGGACAATAACTTCAAATTATGAAGGTTCCAACTTAAAATTCTATATTGAGCCAGGGTAGAGTTCTTTTCAAACATGGCAGTGTCAAAACATTTACTCCAATGTCTTGGGAAACTACTGGGGGATTCCAGTAGAAGAAAGAAATAAAACAAGGAAGGAATCCCAGGAAATAAGATTTCTCAGAAAAGTAATGAATAGGTACACATGAGGGCAACAGCTGTGGAGTAGATGGACAGAGGAGCCAATTCATATTGTAGCATCAAGAAGGAGGTGTTAAGCCAGGTGTGGTGGTACATATCTATAATCCTGGCACTCAGGGGGACAAGTTCTTGAGTTCAAGGCCAACCTGGACTATGTAGTAAGACTGACTCAAAACACCAAGGGAGAAGGGGAAGAAGGAGGCCTCCTCAAAATTAAATGCTAAAGAGAAAATTTGAAATTGATTTCCTCATATGTTTGAATGTTTTATTTTTTAAAAGAAACCTTTCTTTTGTGGTGCTGACAATTGAACCCAGTCCTGTGGTTACTGTAGGCAAGAACTCTACCAATGAGCTCTCATCATGGGCCCTAGCCTATAAAGCTTCACTCTTCACATGTGAAATGCTGTAGGCACTAACCAGAAAAGATGAAAATATGCATATAGAGCTCTCTTGTAGTGAAACGGTGGGGACAGTTACTAACATTGGAATGAAAAAAATGCAATCTTTGTGCATATACAGTGACTATTGATGAAAATGGGTAAGGAGATGATGGTTTGGTCTTGCAATCAATTTACGTGCCCATCTGGTAGAAAAAAAAACAATTAAAATATCTAAAATTGATAAAGAAAGAGCAATAAAAGAATGCCATGCAGAAATACAAAGGTGAATTTGTGAACAATGAACACATTGAAATTCAGTTCTTTGAAGCAACTGAACTTGGCTTGGGTGGGGTAGAGTAGAGAATCTGATTTTTTTATATGCTTTTTTGCACTAGTAGTGCTATGTTGATGAAAAGTAAAAAAAAGAAAAAACAAACAATGGTTGGTCAATAAAAAGCAATTATCCTTTTCCCAAATAAACAATGTATATACTCATCAACATCAACAACAAAGAACAGATACAGATATTTCTATGTATTGTAGTCAGGATTCTTATAGTCATTATGCTAATAATGAAGAATAAGTTTAAAATGTGAAAATATTTACAATTCAGACACATTAATATTGAATTAAAATTCATGACAGTATAATATTTGAATCAATGGAAGCACCACATGACAGTTTATTAATGACTGAATTATTCTAATTATGTAACAGAATTTGATTTTTTAAAATTTAATACAGTCTATAAAATTAGTTTCAGACTTAATGTGAAATGGTCTGTTTTCAGATCAACCATTGGGAATGATGTCTGGTCATTTAGTGCCTTCTATCCCCATTTTAGAGATGCTTTATTAGGTGGGTGAGGATCCATTTAAATGGGAATAACTTGCTCAGAAGGCTGCAGTGTGGAACAAGTCACAAGCTCTTCAGCACCTATGAACTCATGGTGATGCTCCACTGCAGATTTTATAAAGGAAACCCAGGCCTCCAGGGATGATTTCTCAATAAAAGGGGAAACTTTTATGTAACAACTACTGAGTGCTTCATGCAATGGTCAGTCAGCACACGGGTATTGACTAGGAATTGCAATGACGTCAAGATGATGCTAGCGCTGGTGAAGGATGCTGGCTGATAAATCCCTGAAACCTGTTTTGTAGGCTTTTATCTCTCATGAGTTCTTCAAGCTATATAAGCTATTGTGCACAGAGTCATGTGGTAAGTGTTCTTTTGTGCATGACACACATGTGCTTTACGTCTAGGGATTTACTGATGGAGACCTATTAAAAATTCAGTTTGGAGGTGCGAATGTCTCTGGATTTCAGATCGTGGACTATGACGATTCTCTGGTGTCCAAGTTTATAGAAAGATGGTCAACACTGGAAGAAAAAGAATACCCTGGAGCACACACGACTACAATTAAGGTTTGCTGTTGTTTCTGCTTTTTTTTTTCCTATGTGAGGAAACAGGTGGATCTAGAGAAACAGGAAGGAGTGCTTCTGCAGACTGCTAGGTATGCTTTTTTCACATTTGATGTTAAGAAGCACTTAGCATTTTACTATATCACATCTCAGTTTTCTACTTCCTTTCATTCATTTATTTACCTCCTTGGCTTCATATTGAGGGAATTCTGAACCAGGCACTTTGGTGGTAAACAAAAAGGCAGGATCCTGTCTCCATTCACAGTTTAGCTGTGGAAGGACAAAAAGCATGGGAAGAATGCCAGGAAGGAGGGTACATCAAACTCTAAAAGACACGGCAGGCAAGGCTGTCTCCCATTAAGTACTCTGTGAGGTCCTGCTCTGAGGACGAAGTGATTCTTAGGTTAAGACCGAGGAATGAAAGACAGTCTGGCTGCTGCATAGAACATGTTTGTAAACAAGTTAAAGAACAATAGTTGTCAATGTTTCCTAATTTTCAAAAACTCATTTGCAGACAGTTTGGTCAATAAACATATGGTCACACGTTAAAAAGTACATGTGTTTTTTGAATGTATTTGTGTGTGTGTGTGTGTGTGTGTGTGTGTGTGTGTGTGTGTGTGTATAACTCACTGGAGATGAATAGCCTGGACTCTGGAATACCTTAGGAAGCAGATAAAAATCTCAACTTACTTTAATAATGGGAAAAACAAATGTAGTGCTTTATGCAATCAAACAGAATTTTTGAATGCTAAATGTAACATCATGCTTAGTTTTAAGAACCACCCAGTTTCATTGAGAAAGTTCTTACCTATACCTACTAACTCCAGAGTATTTCCTACTCTTTCTTGTATCAACTTAAGAGTTTGGGGTCTGATATTAAGATCCTTGATCCATTTTGAGTTAATCTTGGTATAGGGTGATATACATGCCTGCTTTGTTCTTTGTGGACTTTCGACACACTGAGGTCCCCTTATTTATCTTATGTATTTTATTGTGTATGTACACATGCATATGTTTACTTTCAAACCTTAAGTATTTCTGATGCTGGGGAGAAGTTTTTTTGTCTTCTGTTACTAATCTTATTGGGAGCTGTGGTAAAGATTAAGCTCTGGCTGAGAGAGGATGTGGAGTGAGTGGATGAAGACTGATGTGTGATGATTATGGGCTACAGGTAAAAAACATTTTCAAGTGTGCAGTGATTTTGTTGTTTTGTGTGTTACAATGTAGATTATGTGAACTATTTGGGAAGCCAGTTAAGATGATTATTCATCATAGAGATGGTGTTCAACTGTAAATTTGTGTCGGGCTATGATACTGGTCATAGATATGGATCAGAAAATGTGAAGTTCTCTACTGTTGGTGCACAAATGGATCCTTTTAATTTTAAGTTAATTTCAAAGAAGTACCCTTTGCAGGTTAAAAAAATCACCATTCCTGTTGGGTGCTGTTTTTTGTTTGTTTGCTTGTGTTGGTTCTGGGGTTTCAACTCAGGGTCTCATGCTTAGGTGAGCCAACTTTCCCCTCAGGTCCCCCCACCTTGTTTTTTAAAAAAAAATTTAGTTATTTTTCAGATACGGTCTTGCTAACTTTTTGGCTAGGCTGGCCTTGGACCACTTCCTCCCAATCTCTGCCTCCTGAGTAGTTGGGACTATAAGAGGGAGCCACTGTGCTTGGCCCTATAATGTGGTCTTGTTGGATAGCTTCAAGAAACAAGGCTGCTGAGAACTCAGATGAATACTGGATCCTCAGCATCAGCGTGTGTCTCCATCAGGGCTCAGGAGAAATCTAACTAAGGCTTCTTCTGTGAACAGCAGACTTCTGACCATTAAAAGGAAATGCCATTTCAGTTCTTGAAGAGCACATGCACCATTCAACCTCAAAGGGAGCCAGCATACTCCTTTTGGGTATTCTTGTCATCACTGTGCCGCTCACAACTGCTACCTGTTGGGAGAAGTGTGAAAGAAAATGGGATTCTTTTTTTTCTCCTAGATGCGGTTCACTATCCAGGTCCATGTGTTTTGTATCAAATTGTGTTCTGTGGGTATTAGAGATCTTTGAACATTTTACCAAAACCTAGTGAGAGACTCTACTCTGTTGAAAGCATCCATGCTGATTTTCTTTGCTCCCTACCCTCTGTAGCATTGCCCTTCCACAATCCCTCCTTTCCAGTTGCTTTGGCCAATTTTCAAACAGATCATGATGGCCCTTTGTTATGGCATGTTGCAAGGAATGCAGGATAACAGGTTTAAAAATAGGCTCTGCATGGCTCTTTAACCCTACGTCTAGTCTTCTCCCCTGCACAAGGCAATCGTGACTTTCAATGAAGATTAACTAGGATACAGGACACACGTTAGCATAGGGTCACAAACACAGATGCACTTAAAGGCTCGTTCCCTTTTCCACCTCATTCATAAAATGAGGGAATTTTAGCCATTTTTTTTCTCTCTCTTTCTCTATATAATAGTTTTCCTATATATATATATATATATACACACACTTTGATAAAGTTTAATTTTTAAATTAGGCATGGTAAGAGATTAACAACTAGTAATAAAATAGAATAAATATAACAGTATACTTTAGTAAATGTTTTGTAAATGTGGACTTTCAGATATCTTCTTGTACTGCATTCATTTTCTTGCTTGCTGTTAGTTTGAGATGATATAACATCTATGAATTAGGTGAAGTAAGGTGATTGATACAGACATTGTGACCTCAACACAGTTTTTTCTTTCCTTATTAAGTTGAGAACTTCACCTTTTCACTTTCACTTAAAGAAAATACTTTATAGCTTTATCTTTAGCATATCCAAATTGTCAGACTCACTACTCTTGCACTTTGGAGGCATTATTAAGTAAAATAAAAGTTACTTGAACACAAGCACTGCCATACTACAACAGTCAATCTGATACAGTTACTAAGTGACTAATAGGAGAGTAGCTTATACAGGGTTGACCCAGTGAGCAAAGGGTGGTTCATATCTTGGGTGGGATAGAGTGGAGAGCATGAGATTTTATTCTGCTCCTCAGAACAGCAGGCAATTTAAAACTTATGAATTATTTATTTCTGGAATTTCCCACTTCATATTTTCAGACCATGGTGACCACAGGTAACTGTAACCATAGAAATCAAAAGTGCCGATGTGAGAAAACTGCCATAATGCTTTCATTTAATTTTTCTGCTTCCATATGCAGAAGAAGGGAGGAAAAACTAAGGATCTATATTGTGTTTTCTATATAAGGAGTCCTTTCTGGATACATAGGTCACTTGAAAAAAGGGGACAAAAATATCCCTAATGAGATTATTTACTTTGATACTGTTATTTGGGTCACTGACTATATCAGATACATTGTCTGGTGATTTAAATCACATTTTACTACTTCAGAATAAAAACTAGTGTTATAGGCACAAAAATCTATAAAAATCCAGTTCATTACATCAAGTTCTTTCCATAGTTAGGCTTTGGGTATTATATCCAGTTGTGGGAATAATAAATAAATGATTGTTTCAAAGTTGAAATCTATCCCCAAAGTTAATGCAGTTTGCATAGTTTCCTACTCAAAATAAATTTCATTCAACGAATACAAGTGAAATCTTACATGTGTTTAATATTTAACATATTTTAATAACTATTGAATATAAATTGTAATGTTGAAGTTGTTCTTTCTTGTAAAAATAAGTCTAGATTCATAGCTCTGAGATTTTCAATTTGACTTTCTTTCAATAATTTGTGATATCTCAGAGCAATGTTCATTCATTCATTCACGTATTCATGCAGCACCTATTTATTGACTTTCTCCTCTGCAAGGCACTACTCTAGGCATCAGAGAAATGACAAGGTTTTGACCTTCAAAAAGTTTATCTTCAGAATAAAAACCAGCAATTACTTTGTAGCAATGATAGAAAATATCTTATTAACATCTTAAAATTATGTGCTCAAAACTGAACTTATTTTTTGTTTTTGGTTTTTCAGACAAATTCTTACTATACAGCTCAGGTTGGCCCTGAATTCTGTTAAACCCAGATTGGCATGGAATTCTTGATCCTCCTGCCTTTGCCTCCCCAGTGCTGGGGTTGCAGGCACACAATACCACACAGGTCTCAAAACTGAATTTGTGATTTGTCACTACTGACTACCTCATAGTCAGCTTCTGCAAACTCTGCTTCAGCAGTTTTTCCCATCTCTAGTGATAGCAATTCCAGCCTTCAGTGGGTGCTTAGGCCCAAAACTTCACTTCCAATTCCTCTCTCGCCCTTGCAGTCCACATTCAATCTGTCAGAAAATCCTATTAACTCTGCCTCACTTCTTACCACCTCCTTTACAACCACTCCAAACGCAGGCACCATCCACACCCCTTTCCTTATTGCCACGGTCTCCGAACTGGTCTCTCTTCCCACACTTGACTTCTGCATCTTCATCTTTGTGGTCTTTTTAAAGTGTAAGTTAGATTCTGTCATCATTCTGCTCTGAACACTTTGGTGTGCTTCTTTTTTACTTGGCATAAAAGACAGACACATTCCTTTGGCATAGGAAGCACCAAATACTCTGCCATCCAGTCATATGTGTCCTCACTTCTAGGCAGTGTCTTCTCATTTGCTCTGCGTCAGCTACATTGGCCCCCTTGTTATTTCTTCAGTGTCTCAGGTGCCATCCCACGCAGGGTCTCTGCAGTGGGATTCCAGCTTCCCTCTGAATGGTAAGCCTCTTGCACACATTGGATCTGGTCCAAATATCAATTTCCCATGGAAGCCAGTGGTTGGCACTCTGCTTAAAAACCAAGTCTCTGAACCACTGGGGGACACACGAGCACAATTGTTTTCTCATTCCTAGCTTCTAGAGTATTCTATTTGCAATTAATTTATCCATTGCACTGTAATTATTTCCTACTGTTTGAAAGTGTCAATTTTATATTTGCTCACTGACACCCCTAGAATAAAGCCTAGCATAGAGTGGCTATTCCATGAATGCTTTTAGAATGAAAACTGGAGGAGAGAAAAGATGT